TTGTCATCTTCAGAGCTGGTAATTCTCACCATTTGGTTTCTGTCTACATTTATGTAGTCTCCTCATTTTTTTCCCATCTCTGTCACCCGTCTGTCTTCTCTGTTCATCCTCTGAGCCCTGGCTTTTGCACTACTCTAGGGATTGTCTTCTCCTGCCTCTCCTCCCACCCTTGTTAGTGCAGCCCTTGTTTCTCTCTGAGTCTCCATACCAGAAGCTATTCATAATCCCATAACTGCTGTTCCTCAAAGGAATCACACCACATGGCTCGCATGTCCTGTCCCATAGGGCCAGATCTGGAATGTTCAAGTGATACAGAGGAGTTCTGGCTGAGCCAGAGGAGTTTGTGCCCTGGCCTAGGGCAGTTTCCTGGACGGATACCTCCTAAGTGAGAGATAGTCAGGATTGCAGAAGGCCTTGTTGGGAAGTGTGGCTCACACACTGCTCAGCCTCAGAACTGTTTCTTAGGACAGACGCATTTTGACTTTGGCCCTGCTAGTCCCTCTACCCTACCCCCTCTTCACCCCAGTCTGCAGGAACCCACTGCCATCCCGAGGACCCGCCCCTATCAGAATTACATCAGAACGGCTGGTGTAATCAAACCTCATTTGTCAGTGTGAATTCTTAGCAGATTAACTTGTCAGATTCACAGAGAAACTGTCACCAAATGTTTATATGTAAACGATGTTGAATTTTAAAATCATGTGGATTATGGCGGATGGGGCCTGACAAGATGACAGTTTCTGGTTTCTAACAAAGTGAAGTTACCAGTGTCAAAACAGAGGATGTTTATTGTTAAAAATGTCTCAAAGTATCCACAAAAACCCCTGCAGACCCCTGCCAGCAACATTGGGCCTCGGTTGTCTGACCTAAGGCCTGGGACTCTCCTGATCTGAGGCCCAGGGCAGGAGTGATGGGGCTGCAGACAGACCCAAACAGCTAGCCAGGAGCCCCACCTAGCACCTCATACCACTGCCCACCCCACACTCACACTCGCAGAGGGGCCAGGCCCAGACAATGGAGGGGATCTCAGCAGCCAGCCCCTTACCCTTAGCCACCACCTTCTTCCTCTGCCCACCATAGCCTCTTGACTCTAGCACAACCTCTTTCTCCCTATTGCTTTCAACCCCATAAGCCTCTCCCCTCATCCCCCAGGTTCCACCCAAGGCTGAAAACCTGTTTTTAGCCTCCCTGCCTAAAGCTGGCAAGCTGAAACCACTCAGGTCAGACATGGACGCTTGCAATCCCCTGTCCCCACCAGCCAACACAGTCTGTGAGCACAGCAGGACATTTCTTGTGCCTCACTCTTTGATGGACCTGCTCTAGGGAATGCCTACCCTGGGCCTGAAGAGTGGGTATGCCAAGGTGGGGGGGGTCACCTGTGTGAGTGCTTGGCCCACTTAAGTTCTTTCTAGTACATTAAAGGCTAGAGCAGGGAAAAGAGATAATAGATTGTGCTGAAAACGGCATCTAAAAAGAATGAAGGCTATCTGTGCTGATATAGAAAGACCTTTTTAAGCATATAAAATTTGAATAAAATATGGCTAGTATGATTTCGATGTTGTAAGAAAAAAGCTAAGATACAGATATAGATACACAAGTATCTGTACTTGTTAAATGTGCATAAAGAAATCTTGAAGGCTACCCTCTCTGGGGTACAACACAGCTAGGAGGATAATCTCAACTCTGCTTTTCCTTTTTACCCCTCTGTACTGTTATTAGATGTGCATAAATTACTTTAGTAGAGGAAACTCAGTTGCACATAGCTGCAGGGCTCACTTGGCATGGTTCTGTCAAGGACCCCTTCCTGTGTCATCTTGCCTCAGACCTCTGTTGAGCTAACCTTTCTCCCCATACCTGGGAGTCCTGTATCTGCTTTCTATTTATCTTTGGTTTTCTACCCCAAGATGCATAAAGCATCAGTCTTATGGCTCTAGAAGGAGAAAATGTGTAAAAAGAGAATATTGTGAATCCAGGGCCAGCCATGCAGCCAGAAGGAAGAGACAGCAAGGGGCTTCTCCTCCCTCAGTCTCCTAGGAAACTGGTCTTGGGCACCTCTCGGGCACAGGCAGAACAGAGTCCTATGCAGGAGGCACAGCAGAAGTGCAGCCATGAGGCCATGCATGGTTCTCTCTAACCCTAGGCTCAGAGTCTGGATTTTAGAGAGAAAAAGCTTATCCCCTCCAGAGTCACATTCCCTTTGAGGAGAATGCCTGTCCCCTGCCTCCTGTCCTCCATTAAGTCCTTTTTTATGCACTGACAGAGGAGCCAATCCGTCTACTGCGGGAGGTGGTGCTGCTGACTGATGACCGGAACCTGCGTGTGAAGGCACTGACGAGGAATGTGCCTGTACGGGACATCCCAGCCTTCCTCGCGTGGGCCCAGGTGGGCTGAGGGGACCTCGCCAGGGCCCACCCCAATGAAACCGTTCCTGAGAGGCCGCCAGGCGCTAAGTGTAGCACAGAAGATGTCCACATACCTGAGCCACCAATCCACCCCGACAATAAACCATCCTCTTCCAACCCACGCCGTGGCTGTGCTGTGGGGGAGCTGCTCCTCCCAGAGCCCCTCCCAAGGGTTGGTGGAAGCTGCTGGGACCCTCCCAAGATTTAGTGGGGAGGTGGCTAACTACAGCAACAACAGGTGGGCAAGCCTAATAGGCTGCTCGTTCCTCAGCCTTTCTCCCTTCCAGTCTCATTCCAGGGATGGGAAGGGCCAGCTCACCTAGGGACTCCACCCTTCTCTGATAGAGATGAGGCAGGGGTTTAGTGTTTCCTTCAGATGCAGGTGAAATCACAGGTCCCTTTCATCTGTAAACCTCTGTCCTAAATGTGTCGGAGAAGTTTGTGGCTACATCATGGAAAGTGTCCAGGGAGTGTCTCCAGCTCCCTGAGGCTTGATTCCCCCATGGACTGAGGTTGGGTTCTGGACATGTCCCTAACAGCAGCCCCTACGCCCCCGCCTCTTCTACCCTCACCCAAACACACACACGCGTCCTGCTGCTCTTCCTGTCCACATCAATCTGAGCCCCTTGCACTTTGCCCCTTGTTTTCCCGTAGACAGTCATGGGCCTACAGGGAAGAGACATCTGGTCTCAGACCCGTGCTTCCTGGGTGGCCTTCTGCTCCTGCTCTCATTAGCCTTTTGCTATAGTTCCGTCTTTCAGAAATTTTCTGACTCTTCTTGTCACCACCACCCCTGCCTACCCAGAGCATCCCCTCATCCTCCTTTCCTTTCTTTTTAGTCCCTTTTACCCTCCTGGCCCCATAACTTCCTCACCTCAGTTTCCTTGTCGTGGGAGTTCTCTGCTACCTGCAGCAGGAACCGAATAAAGCTTTCCCATTTACCATTGCTTCCCAGGCCCGTGTTCTAGGATCCAGGCTGGTACAGCCCAGCCTGAGTGGGATGGTCAGTGCCTAGAGGAGCATTATGCATCCTGAAGCATTTACCTTGTTTCCAGCTTTGCCCTCCACTTCCCAGAACTGAACTGGCTCAGGGGCCCTTTAGCTTTGAAGTTTTTTTGTTGCTCTTTAGCTGGTGCCCATGTTTACACCCACACTCAAGAGGCTTTCTACTATGAATGAGTTCGTCCAACCCAGGGATGAGGAGGAGGTAGGGGAAAGCAGGGTCTTAGGTGAAGGAAAGGTGAATTTTGATGGGACCAGTAGGGGAACCTCCCCAGCCGGCTGCATTACTGTATAACCTACCCAGAGCATGGGCGTATGCTGTGCCCTTCCAGAGGCCCCAGACGGTGCCAGCAGGAGGGAAGCTGTGCAGGAGACCCAAGGCCAGTGGTGGCTTGGGTGGTATGAATCCCTCAGGACCTCAGAACTTGGAGACTGGGCTCTTGGGTGGGCTCTTGGGGAGTACAGGGTCCTGGCTGTCCCTTGACTCTTCTCCCTGTTTGAGGCCAGTGGGTGGGTAGGAGACCCCTCTCTTCTCCATCCGGTTTGCAGCACTGGTTTTGTTTCCTTAATAAATCTTTAGTTATGAAATGACCTGACCTCTTGTGGATCTATTTCTGGGATCAGGGAAAGTAGACAGGTGAACCCTGTACACCTGTGTGCCAGTGCGCCCTTCCACCCACCCTGCTGCAGCCCAGCTAGGTTCTTGCGTAGGGGCAGAAGAGAATGGCAAGGATTGGGGACCTTGGTTACTGCTTTATTGCTGTTTGATTCGAGTATAGAAAATGGAAGCGGCTCTGAAAGAGCCTGTGTACAAGGTAGGAAATATACAAACTTGAGGGAGCTAAGGAGACTGAATTCCAGCCCAGCCTAGACTGGGCTTGGAATTGGGGGGGGCCACCCGGGGCGCATGCAATAAATATGGTCCGGGGCCCCAGGGAAGGGAAGGGGACACCGCAGGAGTGGGAGACCAGCTAGGGCAAGGCTGTCTGTGCCCTGGCTCCGGAACTCCCATCCTTGGTGGTTGGGAGGGAAGGGTTGGCCCTGGGGCTAGTGCCACTTGTGCAAAATGAGGAACTTCACATTATCAGTCCCGGGCGGGCTGGAGCTGAGTGGGGAGAGCCCTCCGGCAGGCTCAGTCCCCTCCCCTCTCCCCAACTCTGCCCGAAGCTCCGACCCCCGCGGGGAGATTCACAGTGAGAATGGGTGTGGTCGCAAGGGCCGGAGGTAGGGCTGGGGGCGCCCCAACAGTGACACCCCTCCTCAACTAGAGCAGCACGGAGCCGGAAGGAGGGGGCCAACAAACCACGGGAAGAGGCCGGGGGTCTCCTTTGGTCAACGCTGATATCAAAAATATAAATCTCCCTTCCCCCATCCCACCCCCGACCCGAGGTTTTCTCCTAACCCCAACCCCGGGCTAAGGCACAAAGCAGTGAGGCCAGGTGAGGCCGCAGA